TTGCACCTTCAAAAGGCACCTCCTTAAATTCAGAGATGGGTTTGGAATGTAATTCATATATATATATATATATATATATATATATATATATATATATATATATATATATATATATATATATATATATATATATATGTAGCATCCTATTGGACAAAGCATCATTTCAAAAAACAACCCAAAGATATATTTTTAGGCCTATATGTTATTGTAGCCTGTATCTTTTAACATCTCCAGTGTTCGTCTCCACATATTTGGGTTTGAATGCTCTCTGATGCCAGGCTCAGATATGTAACTACTGTGGTGACACATTTCTCCTGACGGATTTACACATTTACCTTAACTGGAAACTCAGGGTCTGAAAAACTGTACTTTGTGTTTGAAGAAGGACCCGAGAGAGTGCAGTCACCGTCTACTGACTTGCACAAACAGATCCCAGTTACACAAGTACTCATCCGGGTTTACGTTAATGACACATTGTTGTGAAAAAAAGAGCTAAAATTTGTGAGGACTGCTTGAGATTATTTATATTAAAAGTCACATTATGACAAATACCTCTACATACATTAGGTTTAACAGAGAAGCGTAGGTTGCATTACGATTCAATTAAAAAAAATTCACTTCCACACAGATGCACGCATTGACACGCTATGGCCAGTTTAAAGATGCCAATTAACCTGCCTGTCTGTGGTCTATGGGGGGGGGGGGGACCTAAACATCATGAGGAGACCTTGAAACATCACATCACAGAGTAAACTTCAAACCCCAACCCTCAATGCTCTACCCCTTTTAAGCCTTTGTCACTTTTAAATTAGGAATGACTAAAAATGATAACATTTGTTATTCAGTTTTGAGGAAAGCAGCAGGTTTTACATCCTGCATGCTTCGGCTGGATTCTGTCTGGCACTGTAAAATAATTGTGGTAGAATTGCACGAACCTCACATTTTCTACTTGGAAAATGTGATTTTAAGCAATTATCTGCTGAAATACTTGTTAAAGCAGTATTGACCAGGGCCGGGTCTGAGGGGTGGGGGATAACAGGTATATTTTCATGGGCCCCCATTCCACAGTCAGCAAAGGGGACCCATTTCATCAGGGGCCCCAGAATTCCTTGCTACTCCCCGGGTGGTGACATATTGTTTCATGTGTGACACTACAATGCAGTGTTGTATTGAAATAATTACTGTAGTTTGGCCTTTCATGTGATTACTTTATATTTTAAAGCATGTTTTTTTTTCTTTTTACTTACCCTTTGTCCACTGCATACCCATGCGAAAAACCTCTTCGGTTGAAAATAGTAGTGATTTGTGAAACTTGAGTTAAGTCATAGGTACAATTGTTCATAATTATATGTTGTTAATAAAATAATTACTTTTGCAAAATATGCTTTGTTAAATCACTAGTGTAAATCCTTAATAGGTATTGAAACAAATCAGTAACATTTTAATGGTTTTGCAAAACATAAGCGACATTGCAGAAAATGTTTTGGGCTACATTTTGAAAAGGGTGATTTCTGGAAGTGAGTGTGACCTCAGATCAGGCCTTAAATAAATATTATATGGGGCTGATAAAACATGAAGTTTATTTTTCTTATTTTCCTTAGGCACCCAGTGACTTCTTTAGCTTCTGTTTGGCAAACCACTGGTCCCACCAGTCAGTCATGATCTTGAAGACATTCATAGTAAAAGTGCCCCCCCGCCCCCCAGCCCTTTAGCAAAATAGTCCATCGACATTCGGTAGTTCCCCAGATTAATTACTTTGTAAAACTGGCTCCCACTGTACAAAAGGCTGGAGGCCATTGGTGTAAACTGCTTTAAGTTATGGTTAGGCACTTTGTAGATGAATGTGAAGACTTCTTGTGGTCTGCAGTGATTTTTACTTATGTATTATTGTAGTACTTCATTGCTCTCCATTGCTCATTAAAGTTATACATTAAGCTAAAATCGTGGGTGTTTAAAATGTATCTGGTGATTCAGCTGGTTCCAGTACAGGTCCACACTGCAAGCCAAGTAAACACACTGCATGCAGGTGGGATGGATCCTTTGCAGTCCGTGTTCCGCATGACTAGCCCTACCCCATCTCCGCATGCTGCTCTGAAAGGATCGATGCGTCGCATTCCTTGCAGCTTCATCTGCACCCCCGATCAAAATACAGCCAGTCACCCATCACTTCAGATGGCTCCACCCACCCGCAAGGTATCTCGCGAACACCTGAAATTCTTCAAAGCATAACACCCGTGTGTGTTCCTGCTCTAAAGCTAAAGACACTGGCGCTTTAGCTAGATAAGAAGTGGTGGTGAATGATGTTTGCAGCCTGGTCTCACGGGAACCAGATTTGCAGGAACTTGCTCTTTGTGGGCCCCTCGCCCCCCCCCCCCCACGCACACACACACACCCACCCACACACACACACACATACAATTCTCCCCCGTGACCACAGACAATTACTCAACTCATCGTCGTATTCGCACCATTTATGTACGTTCCATTCATTTCCATTTTCACAGAGGTGTGCAAACAAGCCTCGCATGTCATAATCCCTGACACCAAATTGCCATTGCTGTCAAGTCTCCCGTTTTGGCTGGGAAACTACCGTATTTTACCCCTCTTTCCTGCCGTCCTCCCGTATTAGTATTTTCCCGTAAATCTCCCGTATTATAATATCAAACTGAACTGTCAGTAGCCTCGCAAGAACTGCCACCTGCAGTAGCCTGCAGGTCATTTACAACATTAACCAGGTCATAAATGCGGAGGTTAAAATGGCAATGCTGTGTGCCAAAAACAACGTTACTTTCACCTTCTGTGACGACTTCAACAAGGATACAACGTCTGCAACAAATCTGTATAATAATTCATTAGTGAATGCCAGAGAGCCACATGAGTGAACATGAGAAAATGTGTAATGAAAATAAAATGTAAATGACAAGTGGTTATTTTAGATTTCTTGTACACCTGTCTTAAAATGTAAGGGATACTGGAGCTTGGTTGGGGTGGTGGGATGGCTCGCGGTGGGTGGCGGAAAATTTCCCTTATTTTCAAATCCAAAAATTGACAGGTATGGCAAATTGCAAATACTACCACACAAAGGCAGAATGGCATATTTTATCAAAATTTGGTCTTTTAGGCTATGATTTATCTTATACCAAAATATCTTAGTTTGACTATGAAAACGGAAGAAAACGGAGTGTAACTACAAAGGCCACATTAAAGCAGGGGCCAAACAGCCTTCTTCTCCGTTTCAATTTCAGGGCATTATGTCTATTTCCTTGGTTGGCATGATATCTGTCACTGGGACAGTACCATGCTCCCCTGTGCGGAGGGGGGGCTGCCTGGGGGTGTCTGACAGCTTCCCTTTTTGCACGAACTGTTGAGAGTGAACCTGAGCTTTAAAGGTACTGAGTTGCCCCTTTTTTAACCTTTCAGCACCAGCCCCCCCCCCAGGGAGTCTCTGCACAGCCCTGTCCCTTGCAGCAACTCCGCACTTGATCATAACGTTAATTTAAACCTATACTTGATATTGGGTCGTGACTGAGCTGACATGGTAACAATCGTGTTGCGGTTCAAAAAAGGTTGAGAACCCCGGCTGTGGTGAATAATGTCTGTAGTGAATCTTTGTATACACATACATATTCTTGAATTTTAAATTTTAAGGGAGATTTAATTCTGCAAAACCCTGTAGTGCAAACTTTCTTTTGTCCTGTTTAATTTCACAAACAGTCGCACCTACCTTTGCAAAGCACCCAGCATGACTAATGTGCCAGCTCAGTGGCTCAGTAGCCTGTGGGTAGGACCGTGTCTTCATACTTTCATTGTGATCAGTTTGATTCTTGGTTCTTCCCTTTGCTTGTGAAATTTACACCTTTGCCGGGAACTCCCGTCTCTTCCCCCACTCAGAAAATGCATGCAGATTAGGTGGATTACTTTTCGTAAACTGCTCTTAGTGAGCAATTGTGCGTGCAGCCTCGACTAACCCCAAATAAGGGGTGTACCCTACCTTTTGCCCTATGGTCCTTAAAATACGCCCTAGGCATGCCGGCATGACTGTACACTCTCGGACTCTGTGATCTTAAAATTTTGGTCATCTGAACAGCCCCTCCGGTTTGTCGGAATGATGCCAGTTATTATGTGCTCTCTCTCTCTCAATATAGATAAATAACTAATAAACTATAAATATATAAATATATAGTTTATTTATATTGAGAGAAAGAGAGAGAGAGAGCACACACATAATATATATATATAATATATATTTTGGGCACTAAATGTCACCCACAATGTGATAAAAACCTGTAATATTGACGTTGTGGGGACCATTTTTCAACTCCCACAAAGATCTGAAAATACAATAAAAAAAACTAAAAATGCCAAGAGTCTCGTGTTTTGTTTGGTTACGTATGGTTAAGGATGGGGCTGGGTAGGGGTTAAGGTTTCCCCATAGAAATTAATGGGGAGTCCCCGCAAAGATATAATTACAAACCTGTGTGTGTGTGCGTGTGTGTGTATGATTATATAATACATTCATTCATTCATCTTCACTTCAATATCACATTTTCTGGAGCCTATTCAGGAGACAATGGCAGCAATGTGGGGAATAACTCAGGATGGGGTCATCATCCCATCAGAGGGCACACATGGTATAATCCTACGCTACAGACATCAGCCGCCCATTTATAACCGGCAACAGGGTGAGTAGCTCAATTTCTTATGAATTCTTACACTGTAAATGTTATTATATCATAGTTTGGGAATATGAATCTTTTATCTACTAAAAAGGGAATGTGATATATAAATTAGAAACAAAATGCAAAGAGAATTTGGTGTCAGGGATTATGACATGCGAGGCTTGTTTGCACACCTCAAAGAGAACATTTTGAACATTTACACTCCATAGTCCACCTTAAAAAACGTTAAAGCAGGTGAAGGAGGGACAGACATCCTCTGTCACTCCCCATCGGCCAAATTAGGCTGGAGGCGTGAACTTCCAGAGAAATGTTTAACATTCATTAAGATCCACATTGAGCAGTTTACTCTGTCACACTCAGTGGAGCTGCGAGGCTGTTCTGGTCCTGGCATTAAAGGTGACAGCAAAGAGACATGGCTGTCCATGAGACCAGCATGCGGCTGAAGCTGCCCATCGTCTGCATCATCCTGGAGGTGATCCTCATCATCCTGTTTGCTGTGCTGGTGACCTACGATGACGACACGGACGCCAGGAAGTGGCACAAAGAGCTGAAAGCCAACAGAACCACCAACTATGAAAACGACTTCTACTACCGTTACCCAAGTGAGTAAGTTAGGGTACCGGCCGGGACGGCGGCTCCTAATCCTGGCCCTGGGAACCACCTGGGTTAGGGTTTCAGACCAAAACACAAATTTTGTGTTCCTAAATGGATATTGAATGTTTTTAAATATTAATCAGTAACTTAAGAATAATTAATAACTAATCTGAAGGCTAAGTAACAACCAATTTAATCACTATTATTATGCAAGATGAACACAAAAAGAATATAAAAAGCACGTTTTTATCTTTACAAACGCGTTACTAAAATGAGTGAACGATTGTCAAAGTTGTGGATTATGTCACAATATCTAAAGAATTCAGTCAGTAGCCATGTCGAGTTCATTTAGTAGGAGGGATGTAAGAAAAGAGAAGCATGTCCACCGGTGTTGGACCAGGATCTGCTTAGGAGGAGAAAGTGGTGGATCAGGTTTGCCCAGAAAAGGTGTGAGGTAATACGTGGTTTAAAGGAATGAAATGATGAAAATCATTTGAATTGCTCCTTTCTAAATGGCCTGTAAATATAGTGAAGACTTAGACAAGGTTTAAGGTCTTTGATTTCACTGTGGTTTTGGTATAATTGTAATTAGTAAATTGCATATCATTTATGTTACCCATCCTTCCATCCTGTTGCATAAAATTACTCTGAATGTCCCAGAAAGCAAACCTACTGTACATTTGATTTTCTCAGTCTGCTCATTCGGACAGTGTTTCAACCAGCGGAACTACTAAGATCCTGATGTTGTGCCATGTGTGTTGTGGGGTGGCACTTCTATAGGCTGGTATGCTCAGCTTTCGCAACACTGATTCTGAAACACGCCCCGTAGCTACGGCATCTAAATAGCTAAGCTTCTGTTCATCAGGTTGTGAAGCTTTGCCTATTGTGTATGACATATGTTTATGGAGAGCACTGATGAATACAGGATATTGTATACCAACAATACCACAGCATAGCACAGCCTAGTGAAAAGTGCCTTTTTGGTGAAATAATTTTATAGCACAATCTGCCTTTATTAGCATTAATCCGTGTAATATGTGGCTTCACCAGTTCTACAGTCCTAATTCAGTGATGAGCAAAGTCCTCAATGTTACTGCATTAGACATCAAGAAAGTTTTTTCGCTCACTTTACTTTCAAAATTGTATCGCTTATACTTTGGATTCTTACTGATTGAAACAAAATTAATTGTTTAATGGTCCCTTCAATTAAAAATGCCTGCTAAGGGTCCGAATTGACGTGATTGATCCAGTCGGTCTTTTCTGTCTGTCGTATAACTTGCTGCTAGATGATGGCAGTTACACCGTAATTAGGCAGGAAAATGTGCAGGAATCATTGTCAGGTGATTGTGAACATCACAAGAATACATACATTTTCAGTGTCTGTTGTTGAAAACGGAGTAAAATCTGTAACCCCCCCCCCCACCCGCAACAGTTCCCTTTTACAGTAAAAATGCATTTAGTATATAACTGGATTCTGCTTCTGGACACAGTGGAATTCCACCTTAACTGTCATTCCACGTTAAGAGGGGGCAGGACAGACGAATAGTGGGTGTGTCTGAAATGCAGTGTGTTGAAAGTTCAGCTGCGCCTCACTCTCTCTTCGTTGCTGTAATATGTGCTGGCATGGAGAGAGATTCCTATGTGGGCTTTTGCCCAGGTTCATGCAGGCTTTCGGGGTGGATGAGGGGTCTGAATGTACAACCATGTGAATTCCCTGGGTGACTGACAAAGGCTTTGGGATGTGCTCGCCGTTACGGTCCATGGATGAGAAGAGAAGCAGTGGGGGAAGCGAGTGGGGGACAGTTTAGATTACGCTGATACACGAAAGAATGTCATGCTGGCCAATCCTAAGAAAATACATGCTAGTATGATATATTCCTCAAGAATCCCCCATAACATGCTATGATTTTCATTCAGGCAAGACATAGCCAAGCAGTAGTTATGCTAGCATCCCGTAAGTGCATCATTATACTGTGTGGGCCTGTCATAAATGTGGGCTAAAGAACCAGACTATCTGGGACAGCGCAGTTGAAGCATGTCTGGCACAATCAGTGCTTGCTGTCCCAATGGCCGGTTGCCAGGCAACAATACTGGGAAAAATTGTTTACTATCGGGAGGCCATAAACGCACCTAATTGGAGAATTGAAAATGAATAGATTGAGAAAATAAAAAGGAGGAAAGCTCGTTATGTATTTTGATGGCTCCCAGACTCACTAGAGTACAGACCAGTGGATTTGAAGCTTAAAACTAAATAAAAAGACTGCTGTCAAATAAAGTAACCATTTTTATTATTAAATAAAAGTCCCCCAGTCTTGCGTTCCATGCTTAGAGGTGTGCTAATATGGAAAATTTGACCGAGACCAGTAGCCAGTAACCATGGGCTGTAGAAAACCGCTTTGCGGACTGGTACTTAGATTGCCATCCATACTATATTGTAAAATATTGTAAAATAAACGTTGTGTCCTGTTTTGAGGCAATATGGGATGCAATTTGTCACATATTTTCGGACCATGCTATCGGTCCCCCACTGCACCCCTCCTCAGCTCATTATCAGGGACCCAGGGGGGGGGCATCCTTAATTGATTCGGAATGATAGTGGTAACTGTACCTCTCTCCGAAATCCGTCATCCTGCCTAAAGAAAACGGCAGATCGTACAGCAATGCAATCATGTGCGATGTGTTAAGACCCTCCCCCCACACACTGACACCCATAGACACACACACGCACACACACACACACACACACACACACAACCTTGACCAAAACAGACAGTCAGAGGATAGATGAATGGATGTTGTATAATGTTAATGGAACAATGCCAGATATAGTGGTGTGCCAGTCCTGTTTCAGGTATTGCCAGTCGATATATTAAGAATATGGTATGTGCCACACAAATGTAAATATATAAGATACATTTTCATATGTGTGTGTGTGTGTGTGTGTGTCTTTAGGCTTCCAGGACGTGCATGTGATGATCTTCATCGGCTTCGGCTTCCTCATGACCTTCCTGCAGCGCTACGGCTTCAGCAGCGTGGGCTTCAACTTCCTGATCGCCGCCTTCTCCCTGCAGTGGGCCACGCTCATGCAGGGCTTCCTCCACGGCATGCACCACGGCAAGATTCACATCGGGGTGGAGAGGTGCGAGCCAAGTCTCCGCACACGGGACGGCAGCCACGTGTTCAAGATACGTGTGCTTCAGGGCCATAATGACACACTGGCACATTTAAAAGTGACACACATGACTAATTAGATTCAGTACTGTGCAAAAATTTTAGGCAGACAAAGAAAATTTTGTTGAAACTGGTTTGGGTACGAGACGCTCCCCAGGTCCTCATGTTATGAAATTTCAGCTTTATGAAGGGTAAATATTTTTCACTTTCGGTACATTATTATTTAGGTATTGATTGTCCAAACAAGGTGTACAAGTGGGTGAGTTCAACAAATACATGGATATATTGCATGGTAACTGCAGGTACAGGGGTGACTATACAATTTAAATATGAGCTGCCTAACCTTTTGCATAGTACTGCACATGTAAAGTGATAGATGAGTACCCTTGCATAATGGTTGGGAGAATTAACAAATGATCAATGTGACTGTATCAGATATTACACGCATATCCACACATGTGCTCTGCATGTATCTCTCTGCCAGCAGGCCTGCTGCTACTGATCAGCCTCTCAGGAAATATATTCCTTAGAAGCTACTGTCATGCAGCACCTATACTGGAAGGTCTTGGATATATATTGCAGACATGATGCAGTTTCGATATTTTGAATGTTGCCGGGAGACCTTTGACCGCAGTTGATTAGACACTTTAAGTTAGGGTGACATGCTATGTTTTTTTTTTCCTTGCAGCATGATCAACGCGGACTTCTGCACCGGTTCTGTCTTGATCTCCTTCGGAGCTGTGCTAGGAAAGACCAGTCCAGTACAGCTGCTGATAATGGCTGTGTTTGAAGTAACACTCTTTGCCATTAATGAATTCATTATCCTCTCTGTCCTGGAGGTGAGTGGACCTGTAAACTCAGTTCTTGCATTTCTTTTCTATCGAATGACTAAACCTTCCAAAGACGCCATATACATTTGTTTCTTCATTCCATTTGTGCTATCTTTCAGTTGACTGATATTTATAAGTATTGGAATACAGATAAGCATTCGAATGGATAAAAATCTGTGTACACATTGATCTCCTCGCTAGGCAAAAGATGCGGGAGGCTCCATGACGATCCACACATTCGGTGCCTACTTTGGGCTGGTTGTTGCCCGGGTGCTCTATCGCCCCCAGCTGCACAAGAGCAAGCACAAAAATGGTTCAGTTTACCATTCAGATCTTTTTGCCATGATTGGTGAGTTGCATTCTTTGATTCCAACTAATCGCTGTTACTTAACGGGCCATATTTTGCGTATCCATCTTAATCTCTGAATAATCTCTGAATGTAAATATACAGCACTGTAAATGTGGAGATCATGGGTCAGTGACCAATAGTGTTTGACTCCACACAGGTACGATCTTCCTCTGGATGTTCTGGCCCAGCTTTAATTCGGCCGTCACGGAACACGGCGACGATCAGCACCGCACCGCCATGAACACCTACTACTCCTTGGCCTCCTGCACACTGGCCACCTTCGGCATCTCCGCACTGGTCAACAATGAAGGCAAGCTGGACATGGTGAGGAGCAGCGGCATAAGGTTCAGGAGTAAAAACAACACTATCGATTATCAATGTCTCAGCTATTACTGGTAAATGTTGTGCTTGTTGGTGTTGCATATATCTGAGCCTTTAGAGGAAAATGGTCCCACAAATACAACGTGATTCTGAAAAATGGCTTAGTCAAGTCTTTATATTAATTAAAACTAGTTTTTATAATTTATGCATAGGATCCGGGTTGGGAAGGTTGAAATGTAATAGGTTACACATCTAACAAATGTTTATAACTGGGCAAGAAAGCTGAAAAGTCCAAATGGCTTTTCTGACCTGCATCATCTGGAAATACGCCAAAAAAGGCATTTCTGCATGATGAAAGGATTCATTGCAACAAAATGAATCTTATACAGTATTCTACATATAAGCTTTTTACCAAAAACTATTTATTTGGATGTAACCCCTTTGTCATCACCATATTTTGATTAGTAACTATAATTACTATTACATATTACATATTTTATTCTCAGTAACTGTAAAGGATTGCGATTACATTTATTTTGTAATCATGTAACGCCATTACATGGAACTAGTGATTCCTGAACACTGCATATGATGTATTTCTTTCACAGTAATTATGATTAAGCAAATAAATCATCATCCAAAATTCATGCTAATTTGTCAAAGGGACTGTGCATGTTTGCCGTCCTTCCTTGGCTAAGTCAGAAACAGTAGTGGTTATTGTTTACCATATACTTTTTTACTTCCCGAGTTGCTTGTCAGAAACAGCATATATATCAGTAACAGCATTTCCATGGGGTCAAATGAACATAAAAATCACCATCCTAACTGTAATTGGCACCATTACCATAAACACTGTTGTAAATGTTCACTCTGAAATGAACCGCCGCTTCCCCTGCCAGGTTCACATCCAGAATGCAGCACTCGCGGGAGGCGTGGCCGTGGGCACCGCCGGCGAGATGATGCTGACGCCTTTCGGCTCTATGATTGTGGGCTTCCTGGCTGGAACCATTTCCACCCTGGGCTTCAAGTTTCTGACGGTAAAGAGGAAGCCTGAACTTCTAAATACGTGTACATCGCTTCAGGAGCGTGCAGACAAATCTAGTCCTATGTCTTCAGGTGGAGTGACATCTGTAACTTCACGCATATTAATCAACTTCAGTCTTAATGATTAACTTTCCTGACCTTTAGAATCAGCACATTCAGGGTGACTGGGATTTTATGTTTCAGTCGAAGCAGTTCTTTACTCTGCTAGATTTATTCTCCAGCTATTTCTGCCCCTGCACTTACGCTGCTTGGCCAAAATAAAGTGACTCCTACAGTCAGGAGACCTTTTATCATGGACTCAAGTGGCTGTTTCCGCTCTCGCATCTTATTCAGCCCATATTGGAGGAGAAGCTGCGCATTCAGGACACCTGCGGAGTTCACAACCTCCACGGCATGCCAGGCATCCTGGGAGCCATTGTGGGGGCAATCACTGCCTCTGTGGCATCTACGAATGTCTACGGTGATGGGTAAGAGTGCAGACTTCCTAGGCATCTTATTGGCTCATGTGACTGCATTGTTTCACACTGCACATTACCATGTAACATACCCCAGTGGGTATAGAGAGCCTCCTGAAACACTGGACCTCAGATAATGTATGAAAATGTACGGTTCGGAACACACCAATGCTGCCTTTTGGACTGTTGGTTTGTGGGAATCACAGCTCACTTGACAGTCTGCCGTTTCCACAGAATGAAGGACGTGTTCCCTAACATCGCAGAAGGTACCTTCACGCCCTCTGGGCAAGGTGTGCGACAGGCCATCTCCCTGGCAGTTACGCTGGGCTTCGCAGGCGTGGGAGGGGTGATCGTGGGTAAGTCAGAGAGCGGCACCGACGTGCTCACTTCCAGTCAGATCGCCATTCATTTGAATCTGTTCTAATGAGCTCAGCCGTAATAAGTTGACGTTTTCGAGTTTTACTGACACGTGCTCTGAGGAATTCAGTGAAACTCATGCTACAGTTTCAGGGTAAGCCGTTGGGGAGGGGACAAACAGCAGTACAAGACAAGACAGTGCAGGACAAAACAGTGCAATATCGGGATGAGTAGCAAAAAAGTAGAGGAATGCATGGGTTTGTGGTAACATTATGCCTAATGTTTAGAAGTGGTGGCCATATACAATAACAGAGCAAGTTGCATGTGTAAAGACCCTTAAGGAAACATAAAGTAGGAAGAGAGCAAGTTACTGTATAGTGTGTGACCATGCGATGGCGCTATTTCATTTATGTCTTGTATACAGTCCTTTAACCTTGAGCATACTGTACGTGACTATGTGTGCATATCATGAAGAAGAAGCTTATTTTGCCCGTAGGTTTCATTCTGAAGTTGCCCTGTCTTGGGTCACCTCCTGACACCATATGCTTTGAAGACAACATCTACTGGGAGGTATTTTTTATTCCATGTGTTTCCTGTGGCTGGAATAATATCTTAACATAAAACGTTATTTTGGCCTAGATGACATAATTTACTCAAACGAAAAAAAAACACGAGTTATCGATACTCTAAACCAAAGTGTTGATCACCTTACGTCAACATCTAGATGCAAGAGAAAATCACCAATTCAATCAACTGCTTAAAAGCTTTAATAAAACCACAAGCAAAATTGTTTGAAGCTTTATGAGCTGATCTGCAATACACAATTAGTCCACTTGGTGGCAGGTTTACAAAGGCCACCAAACTCATTTTGGAGAGAAATATAGATATACATTGAATTATTATTATCATTAATCCATAGAAGCATTTCTTAAACTGATTATTATTGTTGTTGTTTTGTTGTTGTTGTTGTTGTTTACATATGGGTAATTGTGATGTATTATTATACGTAGCTAACAAAACTTATGAATTGTAATTTTAGGAGTGGGAGTTGAATATTTTATGTTTTTTGACCTTCTCTGTCGTCCAGGTGCCAGGAGATGAGGAATCCCACCAGGAACTGGCTCAGGTGCAGCAGGGGGACGTGGTCAGTCCACTCAATGGCTGAGCATCACAACAGGTCACCCCTAGTTCACCCATCTTATTCTTTGCCGAAACGTTTACAGCAGCTCAGATCTGGTCTTCCCCTGCTAAGATCTTCTGTCAGTGGGCCTACTACTCAACTGCGTGAATTTCCTGTGTGTATGTCTATGTATGTCTGTACATAGTTTTTAAAAGTCATGCTAGATTTAGTTTTTTATGTGGAATTATTTGTATGGTCTGTTTTTGCCATTGTCTGACCAGATTTAACGCTGATATTTTTGTGGTGCTGGAGATGTAATAGCATTTGCATTTATTCATGTTTTAGATAATCAAATATACATATTTCTCTACATCCTTCATATAAATACATATATATAATACTGGTTATACTACCAATATGTTCCTAAGAATAAATAAATATCAAGGATAAGAAACAATACTTTTATTATTAAATATAACCACCAGATGGCGTCTCAATGTCAAGGTGCTCCTTTTTAAAAAGTGGCTTTTTGGTGACGATCCGCCTTGCACTTATACTGTCGTGCATAGAGGTTGTTTTTTTTTTCCTTTTTCTTAATATGATAATATGCCAAAAGTGTTCGGCAGTCATGGAAATAGGTTTAATAAACATGAAAAAAAAAATAAAAACCAAAAATCTTATTTTCCTTCTGGAACTTTAAATAAATTGTGAATTTGTAATATTTTACTCACCTATCAAAGTTCGTTTTATATGCATGCTATTTAAAAACACAAATATGACAAATTTACATGTTGTTTTGCTTTGTCTAGGCTGATTCAACTTAATCATTAAGCAGTTTTATCTAATTCCAGTAGCCTGATAAAATATGAAATTTTACGTATGTACTGAAATGTACTGATACCGCTTTTGACAGGTTCACAAATTTTGCATAATTTTCATATATGGCTGCATATTATGCATATTAACTTTGTCTACTTACCCAAACTGCAAATATCCACAGCTTACCTGACATACATATCCAATCATTACGAAATCATAAATAAGAGATTTCAAATAAAGGGATTTAAATACATTTTTTATTATTATTTTCAGACATGGATAGGATCAAAGTAAATCTAAGAAACATATGTTGACTCTTTGTGATATCATTTTTTTTTTCTATCTGCACAGTCAGACTGAACATTTTACAGTCACATGCGATTAAATTTGTCACACGAGATAAGTATCAAATAAAGAATCCTCCTGTCTTATTCATAAAATCAAAGAAGAGGGCCGAGAGTCTGCTCCCTGGGGGGTCACTGGTTCCTGGCATAGAGCAGCCCTCCTCTCTCCTGTGGGTCAGTTGTAATAAGATTAAAGATTAGCTTTGACAGGGCCTCCACTGCTGGCTACACACACTCCTCTGTCAGCCTGAAAGGAGCCTGGCTAACACAGGTCAGTAATCACGTGCAGGAGCGTTGCTAAAGATTTTGGGCCCCATGAAAGCACATCATATCAGGCCCCCCAGTCCAGACCAATCCGGTTATTTAAAAAAAATGTAGGGGCCCTTGGAATACTCCTAATTCCCCCCCCCCCCACAGCACCCCTGATCGCGTAACACGATGACATTTTCACGTTACATACAAGATTCAATTCAAGAATTTAATTCTTTATTGCCATTGAACTTGACAGCACAATAAAACTGAGTTAGCAACTTCCTAGGCAGTGCAAGCAAAAACACAAGACAAGATATATAATATGTGAACCATATATACAAAATAGCTGATATACTGTATATATGTGCAAAGATACAAATGCCCTCCCTGAAGTGTCCTGCAAATCCAGCACGCGGTTGAGGTATTTTCAAACAAAAATACCACGGTATTACCGTAATATAACCCAAACATAGCCAGCACCCCCCATTGTCCCACATCCCTGAAATCAATAGTTGTATGCGTAACTAGGGATGTGTACGCCTAAAGAAGGATGTGATAAACGGTACGTGTGGTGTGGTGTGGGTTATGTGTGAGAGTCGTGCGTGGATGTGTCATGTGTGCTTGTAAATGATCAGATTTATAGAGGATTGATTTACCTGGCAATGTTCAGGCACAAAACATGGAACTGTTTTCAGATGGTGTAAAGATGGTGTAAAGATGGATGGAAGGTGGATGGGTGTAGATTAGCTGTGCACTAGGAACCAAGTGGGTAGGCATGTCGTTTTTGCTGGGTGTGAGAAAATACATACATCATGGTGGAGGCTGTTAGTTACTTTATTAAGGTACAGGGAAACGTTCTTAGGTTCTTCAACTGTTTCCCAGATAAAGGCAGGGAGGACTGAGCCAGAATCAGATGTGCTACTACCGGTCAATTGAAGATCAAATTTCCAAAACATTTTCGAGAAAATTTCTGTGGACTGAGTTTTTGGTATTTACTGAAAGTTCTTCATTGGAATACAGTAGGACTCTGTGAGTTTTGGTTCCCAGTATCGTAACGTGTTGAGGAAGCCTGACTTTAGGTCATTGGTGGTTTCATCTTGGAAACAACAACGAAAGAAATGGACAGTTGATGGTATTAGATTTTTTCAGAATAGTTTTCTAAAAACAGAGGCCACCTGCATTGATGCCATCATTAACATGTTGTATATATAGAGACAATTTCAGGGCAAACCATGAGCAAAACAGTNGGGCTTATGAGTGTTTCCACACAAGACAATTGTTGCATGTTTCTAAGCAGGAAGCCTTGAAGGCAGTTTGACCTCAGGTCATGAAGGTCAAGGGGGAACAGGTTGCATGAACTATTCATTATGTTCTCCATTCAAATGAACCATGGTCCATCTGCCCACAGAGGAGTAAATGGAACTTCCTTAACTGACAATCCCAGTGGACAGACCCTTTGCTCAGTTCTTTGCAACTTCCTGACAAACTCACCTCCAATGTGTGAGAAATGAAAAATATAAACGGTGACGGAAAGGTCATTTATAATGCATTCATGTATGTGACGTGTATTCATGTATGTGACGTGTATTCATGTATGTGACGTGTACACCAATCTATGTTACACATGTACTAAGCAGTGTTTTTTTCCCCCACAAAATATATTTAATATTACCAGTAATTCAGTGCTTATCTCCAAAGAGCAAAACTCTATTCAGAGCAGTCAGTCAGATGTTTTAGAAGTTAAAGAAGTTCACTACAATGCAGTCGATTCACATCAGTTTAACAGACCTAAGCAAACAGAACTACCCAGAATGCTTTGATATCTCTCAGTTGATGTTTGACTAAACTTTGGTCTATTTACAGTAACAACGATGAGTCCCACCTTACAAAGACGCCCTAAAGATGGAGTTTACTTTTAGGGGAATATTTTTATATGTTATGCAAATATACATTCCCCTATTGTTGTTAGTTGTTAATTGTTAATGATCCATAGTTTGTCATACCAAAATCAATCTAATAATCAGTCTTCGATTGATTCATTACTATTATCTATGAATAATCTATTAATTGTGTAATCTGTTAATTTTATCAGTTAATTGATTTTTATTCTGCATAAACTGCTTATTGAAACAGTACAAGTTAAATGAATTAAATATTCCCTACAGATACAGGGAATATAACTCATACAGCCTTAATGCCCCAGTTATACATCCCTGCTTGTTACCATGTTTTATTCTTTATTAGATTAACAGGGAGGTGGCTGTGCACAGCAGCTCTCAAACAACTGTATATGTGATCAATGCGAATCATTGATTTGTCCTTAAACCAGAAGTCCAGCAAGGCTCCTCTTAGCTCTTAAGCCACATTTATTCAACAGCTTGCAGTAGATTCCATAACATGAAACACTAAGACAAATCACAAGGAAATAAGTCTGGTGGAGAGAGTAGATACAGCTGACTTAGCAGAAATGCATATGGCATAATGAGCAAGTAACAAATCAGGGCTCTTATAATTAATGAATAGTCGGGCCAGGGGCAAAAAAAAAGAGAGAAAAAATGCAAATCGTTAAATGCAACATGATGGCACCTAAATCTCTGATGGGAATTCTGTCTGTGTCTGTTCCCCATAACCCCCTTCCCAACCTCCGTCATTCTCTTCTGCTCACTAAGTACAAATAGCCTTTGTGGACCAGAGACCTTTTCTTGGATGCCAATTTGCATGAAAGCAAGTAGCAACAACACTTTTTTTGCATAGGCACACTAGGGCCCCACCTCCCTTTCCCAGCTCCCCCCAGCACAGCCACCCTTTTTGTTTTAGGACACACACACACACACACAGTGAGACCTTACTTCCTGCGATGGCACAATTAAAACAAGAGGTTCCCACACAATCCACTTTTGTCTTTCAGAAAAAGTGAAAGCAACGAGGAGCAGGGCCAACACTGAATGTTAATTAAGAGGTCGAGGAAGTGGGAACGGCGTATGAAATATATGTGACCTGGGAAAAATACGGTACTAATTCCTGTTTGCGCTCCTCCCGAGACACCGCGCACGTAATATTCCTGATTTCCGTCTGAATTTCGGGTGGAATTCAAACTCTATAATATTTATACACTAAACTGCAATTCAATTAATTTGACAGTGTGACATTCGGAAAGGAGTGAGGAAGGAAAAAGCACAAAAACAATCCACGTTTTATTCGATGTTGATACACAAACATTCCAATAGGTGGTGCTGTATAATCTAAAGCAGCCTAAAACAACGCTATAGTTCGTTCATTGATGCCTTTTAGCGTAGGTTTCCTGCGTTAACGCTTCCGTAATTAAAAAAATATACTCGAATTCAATTTTCTATATATTTTCCTGAAGAAAATAATGTTCAGTTCCAGAATAAGGTTCTTTGATAAAGAATGCCCTACCAAAAAAATCAAGCACTCTAAAAACGGTAAGGCACCTGAACTTCACCTTAATGGTAACGCCTATGAATAATGAAACATCCTGACCATCATAACGCCATTTTAGCTTTAGGCTCATTTTATAATTTATCTTTGCTTAACAAGCCGCAATTACACGCTGACTGGTCCCTTGAGGTAATTTTCGGGCACTTGATTTTATAATGAAAAAAAGAAAAATATATAATCTAAGTTTTGAATGATTCATCGTGGCTTTTTGGCTTGTTTTTGGGGTTCGAGCACCTAAATTGTGGTAAATAACAACACCACGCAACTTTAATAGCCGGGATTTAATCCAGTCTATCAATTTGAAAAAGAATTACTAAATGCGCAACTGTCAAAATTAAACGGCTGGGGTCCAGTTTTCCAGGACCCTAAATGTTACTCCACAAAGCCCCCCATTATTACGGCGCTCTTCTTGAATGCTGAGGAGTCGCTCGCTGGCGCAGCGGCGCTCCCTCCCTGTCACTTCCCCACAGGGGCGAGAAAAGCCGCCTCGCTGGATCTCCGTTCCTGGCACCCGGTTCTGAGGCGGGCACTGCGTGTGAGGGCCTGTGTGCCAGTGAATGGGCACCCACTCAAGCCCCGCTCCACAAAGCCCCCATTCTTCACAATCAATGGGCACATTAAGGCCGGGGTCTTTCGCTCGGGACGGGATGTGAGGCCACAGAGACGGCACACAGAGGCGTCCATTAGAGCCAGGAAGCAGGGGGCTAGAGGAAGGAGCGACGCAGCCACTTGGTCGGGGATAATATTTGCTTACACGCCATCAACCTTTGGAAAGGCAAAACCTTTGTTGGAAAGGCAAAGTGTTTGTGGCACCCTCTCACTGTGCATCTTCTAATAAATTAAATACGCTGGTGATGTGCCATTTGGGGGCCCCTGTAATACTTCACACTTAAGCATTAAAACGTAAAGAAAAACCCTCTGCAGCATTAGGCTAATAGGACAGTTCTGAGTCCTGCTTTTCTCTGATATAGTCCTCTGGTAGTTCCTTCTTTGGTGTGAGTCTCTCCAAAGAGATAAAGCCAATATTTCTCTGGCTTCTTCTAACTGTGCACTTTAACAAAATGTGTGTCTGACATTAACCTAAGTTAGGTATTATTTTTTATGGTCTATATGAAATATTTCTCCACTCTCCATTTTAGGTCTGTTAGCTTGAGTATAAGGTGGTAATAGAAATGCTAATATCAGTAATAACCATCATTGTCATCATCAACAACAAGACAAATGTCACTAAACATGAATGTATTTATATTTTGATGATTTGTTTTGGCATAATAGGGTACAGTAACTTGACAAAAATCATCTATTTTCATTTCCTAGATCTTTAAACTGATGCACTAAACATGAAAGATACTGCTTATCTGATGACGTCATTTAAGTCGGAAGACATCTGACCTGTGCCTATTTTAACTCATATCATGGGCGTGTTGCCTGCGCTATATTTGCATTTGCTTAATGCGATAAGATGAATGGTAAGTGTGTTATGGTAAATGTCGAGGAGTATACCATGGTTTACTCTTCCAGATTAACTTTAATGCATGCATTATTATACCTGTACGAATTCCCACTTATCCAGCTACATAATTCAACTACCGTAAAACGTAACTGCTGAGAATCGATGCTAATTCAGTGAAGAGACGTTATTGACAGTGTGTGAAATGGTACAGTTAACCTTCTCAAAACCTCCCTGTGGAATGGCAGAGGAGAGAGAAATCCCTCGCCACAGGAGAACAGCTTCTGAAGAGCAGGTGGGGCAAAGTCAACATCTACTGATCTAATGATGCCCAAGTCTCCCAGTCTGCGTGTAACCAAAGGTCCCCATCGCATACCGGCAATTAACTCCCCAGGCGGGAGCAGCTGATAGACGAGTCTATTATTATAATCTGCCAAGCGCTGCAGGTTGGAAGAATATGGAAACGTCTGGAAAAAATCCGTAATATATTCTTACTGTTCTAATAGGCATCAGTTGATTAGATTGTGATGAGTTTGGTTATAACACTACATGTAAAATAGAAATATATACATAAAATTACAGAAAAGTTTTTAGATATGCAACAGTTAAAATTTGCCAGGGAACAATGATGTCATTGAGGCCCTGACAGTTACATGGGTCTTATGATAAATATATTGATTCCTCCGCTGTTTGTTTGAGATGCTCTATTTTTCATTGGTGTGTGGTGCTCTGAGACAGAAATTGTTTTTATTGAGGATGGCTGATTTTGTGCCTTGGTGTTATTGATATTATTAAGATTAATTTTGGTCCACGCGATTATCATTTAAAAGGATAATAGCATTGATGGATACTATTCTTTCTCAGTCTTTGACATTTATATATTTAATTGCCATGTCGGCCACTACAGTCGTTTTATATTGCTTTCTGTGTTGTGTATTTTTGCATTAAATATGCACATTGAATGATGTGCCCACATATAAAGAAGAATCTGTCAAATATTTATTAGTAAATTAGAATGCACATAATTGTGTGCTTGCATGTAATGGAGCTCACTGTGAGTGAGAGAGAGAGAGTGAGTTGTAGGAAGAGCTTGATTAGTGTCTAGAATTGTGTAGTCGGGTCTGTAGTTCAGCAGGGTAACGTTTCTACTTGGTGAAATGTGTAATGTCGTGGGTCTGATTTTTTTTTAATGTTACCACTAGTTACATATTTGTTTGAAAGTAAATGGGCAATTTAAGTTGAAATAGGCTATATTAATTCTTGCTTGAAAAGTAACAACTCGTCAAACATTTTTGCATCTGTAATATTTCTGCTTTTGTACTTAAGATAATTTGTTTGTTTCCTGAATATCTATAAAAATTCACACCGAGCATTACATTGTTACCTTGTATAACTTAGATAAATGAATCCCTCTTAACTAGTCTTTCTACATGTTATATACACAAACAAAAAATGCTTACAAATAATGCGTCCATGGCTAGATACTGTATATACTCATTCGCATTCAACCAAACCAGCCCACCTCTCCCATTCTCCGGGTCAGTGTTTATGAAGAAGTGCTTTGGAAAAGGGTTCTGGTGTAACCAAAGTCTAGTTAGACCGATGCTTTTTACCTTCCACTTTGAAATTACAGAATCTATTCAGTTATTCCTGGAAGAATGAACTGCTTACATGAACTCATAATCCAGTGCTGTCTGATTGGTGCAGTCATTTGACTTCAGTGTAATCGAGGCCTTTGGGTAACACCAATGGACCGACAGATCCTTTGAACAGCACGACGGGAGAAGCCCTTAGGCTGTTTCTTGGATAACCCTCATTCATGCTGCATTTCCTCACTTCCTCGGTAATGGCAAGGCAATCTGCTTGTTTCTGGAGTAATTTTAGCCTGGTATGTATTGGTAACTGGCAGATGTCGTTTTTTTTCTTATGAAGTTCCGCTTTGTTACAGTGGCATCTCTGAAATAATGCCCATTCATGCTCAATTTAGATGCCCTTTCATAAACCTTTCAGAAAAAAAACTGTTATCATTTATCATACTCATATGTTTGTTAGACCCTACTTGCTCGCACTCATTAATCCATTAACGTGGCTTTATTGAACAGCTGGCCATCACTATCCGCCCACAAAACCCACCACATGCATTTCTGCAGTTTTATTCCTGGTTAACTAATACCACCTTGATCCCATGCGTCCAGTGTCGTACTCCAGGTTGCTGGGAGGTGCATGGAAAAACCCACCAGGAATATATAGGCACTGTAACTGTGAGCCTGACAGCATTTTTAATACAATAACCTATTTTTCTAGAAAGGCAAGGGAAAAACCCTAATGAATCTTTGATGGTAAATGACAATACAAGACACATTCCCTCTGCTGAAAACAGAAACTGATCAACAGCACGTCAAAGCAAAGTTGTGTACCTCACAAAACCACTACTCAACAAATCCTGTCATCTGTATAATTCTTAATTGGCCATTCATCTCTCAGGCTGCTATGTGTGTTTAGTAACATCATTAATCTGATTTGAGCTATTTAACAAAAAGTGGAATCAGGTTTATGAAAAACACTTTTATTATAGATTGTTATAGATTCAATGTGTAATTTTGAACCCGACTGCTCATCTAATGAGGTTTAATATTTTGATAAAATGATAAAATCAAACATTTATAATGTTATATAAACCAAACTGAGTTGATAGACCCCAGTGACAGGTGATTTAAAATATTTCGGATAGGAGCAATGTCGAATACGTTGCGATTTGTAGTGAAATTCACTAAACATTATTTGGCAATGTGAATGGAAACAAACTGATCGTTTGACGTATTGCTTATTCAGGTCTTCTGTCACACCAGTTTGCTTTTCCACTCAAGCGCCTCTTCATCTGAATGGGGTGAGAAGAAAAACACAGTAGAAAAGGCAGAAGTTTGTTTACGACTTCCCACGATTCCATGCCAATTAGCCATAGTTTATCTGTCAGTCGCTCGTCTTTTTCATAAGCCATACCTCGCGGGAACATATTTTATTAGAAGAGCTTCTACTGACGAACTGCATTAGAGTCCCACCCACATCATGCATCTTTGCGGTGGCATCATCGTTTGCCTTTTTGACCTCCTACCTATAAACTATTTATACATTGACGCCGACACGACCGTAACTTACGTGCGTCTCATTTCTGTGTAAATTAATTATTTCAGCGTTGCGTGAACTTGTTCCTATATCTTGCACTCGTGTCACGTTACCCCACATGTGGATTACAGGTTGAATTCAAAAGAAAATTGCAGGAGTATTTGCTAATGATTTCAAGTAACCTTGAGGTTGGACAGCTAATCTGGTCTAATGCTTTAGAATAAAAATATTACTTAAGCTGTGCCTCTAGCTTTTTACTGTATCCTTCGAAACCGATTGGTAATTCAACTGTTTTAACCTAGAATTTCCACTAGGGTTGCTGTTACGTAAACCTGACAAAATGGAAGCCGCAAAATACATTGCAATTACATTTACAATTCGGAAATAATAACTATATTGATGGACTATCTATATTTAGTTAGTTGCGATGTTTTTCAGTTGTTATTATTTATTATTGTCAGTTAGTATTCTGTCCCAGATATAACCCCACGACCAAAATTGAGCAGATAATTGTTTCAGCCGCTACGTTGTTGAAATATGTTCTTAGTAAAAACGTGTAAGAATTTCTACCAGTTTTAACTAAATACTTCTATTTTGTTCGTTTCACGATTTTGTGTGTGGAGGCGATCATGATATTTGAGCCAAAATCATTCGTTGTATAATTGCGCAGATGTATCAGTATTTAAAACCGTGCCTAAAGTGTGTTACGGTCATTTAGTAATTCCGTATTGTTTGTAATCGATTTTTTACATTTTTTAAAATACATTCCAGTCCTTTGGATTATCCCTCCAGGTGGTGTGCATTCTGACGTCACGTAACTTGATGAATTTCTGTCAGTAGTAGAGTTTGTTGTCGAAAAACGGAAATTCTGTTGTAAAATATGTTGATTACAAAATAATTTCATTGCCGACAATGTTACTGTTCGTGTCTGGTATTATACCATTTGAACCTGCCATGGCAAAACATGAGGACCCAGACAGAACCTTCTGGAGAAATGTTGCTTATAGCGTATGATCGGCAGGAGTTGTCATCAACTATAGACAATTCCTAATAATAACGATATTACGTCATTCGTATATCATATAAAATGTGTTACGTTGCTTAGTCCAAGCGCACTACTAATTATTATAGCTTCTTAATTATTAGTGTTAGAAGTTAATCGTTCATGTTGATAAAAACATAAACATCACTTAAAGGTTGAATATGAGTAAAACATAAATATGAAAAATGAAGGAATATCCAATAACCAAGCTTTAGATTTACACAATACACAAAACTCGATAAAAACAATACGGTTCTCTTATTGCAATAGTCTGCCTTTCAACGATATTTGAATTTTACTTGAAAGATGAATTTTCAGTAGAGGTCATGCAAACGTTAGAAATAGTATATATTTACCCCGAGCTGCAGTTTAGTTGGTCATAGAAATTATTTTAATTGTATTTAGTCTTTTTCCAGTAGCAACTAAAGTTTTGACAGGAAATTCTTTACCACATTAAAATGCAATAGTAATTCATAATTGTTTTGGGAGGGCATTGATAATAATTTAAGGTGATGTAGGTTTTTTGTGTGTGTTTTGCGTTTAAATTGGGCATTATTTGCCTTTTCAGCTGAAAGCCATCCTTATGTTCTGGAGTATGTTGTTGGCTTTGACTAACTACACCGAAAAATACTGTCGACGTGTCTCCTTGTCTCTGACCCATTCATCTTACCTCCCGCTATTTTTTGTCATTAATTACTGCCTAAATAACGACGCTGTTTCAAGCCCACGAAGTTTTGGCACAAGCACCAACCGCGAAGGCGGCACCAGGACACTGCTCTTTTTACATTATTCGACTGTAATTGGATCGAATTTGCTGTATTGACCGTAACCAATCACTGTGTCTCTACTGTTAGCCGAACTATAAAAAACAAAGCAACTTTATAGCTGGCAGAAAATTTGGGATTCTATCAATTTGTGGTGTCCTTAGGATCAGCCACCATGGTCACCTACTCTGCTGATGATGTGCTCCGCGTGGCAAGAACCACACTGCAATTTATTCGATTACGTCTTAAAATGATACGTTTGTTGACTGCGTGTATATGTGTGCGTTTGTATAAAAACGTATAAAGCAAGTTCGACTATTAAATGCGTTGCGCGTATTTCAGTCCCTGAAATAAGCCATTTTGATATGCGATTTTTAAAAAAAACAATTTAATTGCTAAACAAATATGTTATGGTTGTATAGCTTCGCATTGGAATATGTTGTGTTGTATTTCAATGCACGGTAAATGAGTTCATTTATCAGCAATCGATTATAACATCGAATTATAGTAAGGCCTAAGTATTTTGGATCAGTCTTGGAACATATCGCTTAGATTAGATTTTTAAAGTTTAATGTTAAATGTAATTTTCATGCAAGAATATAGAATTAACAGAACGCTAAAACTGATACAAAGACCATTTGTTAAAGGAGCCTGTATTTCCGTGCTTTAATGCTTTAAACGTTTTCTTTTTTTTCTGGAAGTTTCAGACCTCATGCTTTCCATTGCAATAAGGCACATTATTACATAACGACAGGAACAAATGTTAGACTTGAAAATGCCATGCTTTATGTGTTCTCTTACCAGGCAGCCAAAACTCCCTGAACATATTTCGTACTGTATTATGTTAGTTTTCCAGCAGAGGGCGCATCTTCTCGATGCGCGTTCACAGTACTCGCACAGCGTGAAGGGAGTGAAAAACGTTGCTTAGTCATAATTAACCCAGATTCCAGTCGATGTATTCTCTTTACCCGACTTACCGTTTTCCCCTTTACATCCAATCT